AGAGAGAGAGAGAGAAGAAAGAGAGAGAGAACAGCGCACAAGATGGCTGGCGGTACACACGTATCCGGCGTGAGTAACAGGGAAATCCGAGAGCGAATTCGGGCGAAGGAGGAGCCGGCCTGCCGTCGGAGGTTTGATTTATATGTTAATCGCCAGACAGCAGTCGCTGCCGATGTCGGCAAGTGCACAGCTTGCTGCGGCACTCTTTTACTCCTCGTAACAATTCTCGAAATATCACGTATAAGTAGACACCGGTTATAGGCAATATTGCCAGAGGCAATATCGATAGATACGACGAGAAAATCACGAGTTTTAATCACCAGTTAATTTCCGACAAAACTGTCGGAAGGATTAGTTTAAATTAATAGTAATATAAGCAATCATTCATCAAATAAGCAATAATTAAAAAAAAAAAACATGTAACTGAGAGAAAGAGAAAGGGAGAGATTTTTATTTTATTTTATTTTCTCGAATATAAACTGAAATCACATTTAATTCTAAAAAAGCTTAGGAAATACTTTCGGACAAATTTATTTTATTCTTCGATAGTTGGGAGTCTCTTTCTAAAGCTTAAATTTCATTAGTCTTTGTACACATTTACTTTTAGAAACCATCGACAAAACTGAATTTGCAGATATTTATATCGTCATCAAATATCAAAGTTTGTATTTCGGACAGATGATATATATAAAGGCGCAAGTAATTATTAGACAGTAGATCAAAATTCTCTGCAAAACCAATGATAGATAGGTATGAAAATGATACATTTCCATAGGTTCAATGAACCTGTGGAATTATTAGAATTTCATAAGCGATATATTGAAAACCGCTACTGTCCATGTTCGAATTCCGAATTCCTTAGTTGAAATAGATATGAAAGATATCAGAAGGGAAGCTTTAATTGGAATCACGAATTTCCAATTAATTAGTTGTTCCACCAATAATGCATAGAATTTCAGTAACAGATATTATCAAACTGAAGCCACCTTTTTAAGTAGAATTTCCTTATTTACTTTTTAAAACAATATTCATATAAACAATAAAATTTAAGCGAAAATATGATACATATATATATTATATGTATATTTCTGAAACATAAATTGTAATTTATTAATTACATAACATGTAATTATTAAATATGTAATTTATTAATTAACATAACATAATGTATGTATGTAATGTATGTATGTATAAAAGTATATATTTTTTACGTTGAGATATTTTAAAAGTAATAAAATGCGATAGACAAAACAAAACGAGTATAGTGATCAAAATATTATCAAAGTGTAGTGATTAACTTTTATAGCCTATATTATGCTTTGACAAAAAATTAAAAAACTTCACTAATGTACTGCACACTTTTTATCAGATAAAATTTTTATCAATTCCATTAAGCACTTGCGCAAATATTTCTATATTCAATGACCTCCGTGTATATTTAAACATTATCGCGTCATACCATTCGAATTTCTAAAAATGTTATAAAAAAAATTTAAAGAAACAACCGTGAATAAATAACAAAATATTATTTACTTTGAAGTATGTTATGATTTTATTTTACATCTATAAAAAAAATATTGTGAAATTGTATCTACGTGTCACGTAAAAAAATAAAATTAAATAAAGCTAAAAATAAATTAAGTAAGATAAAAGTAAAAGATACAAATATATGTACATATACTTGTATATATACATGTATAAGTATGTATCTTTAATATAAATATGTATATATTTATATATTTATATATTTATATAAATATTTATATTAAGATATAAAGAAATATATATATAGATGTTTTTACCTAAATTATCATTGTATTATAATAACTGTAAATATGAGTTTTTCTTATCTTACAACATTATTACAATTTTATAAAGATACTATTTTGTCGTTATCGTTTGTTTCCTGCGTGACGTTCCTTTAACAATTATGTTACCACGCGACGTTTGAATAAAACACGTTTTGTGTCGACGAAAGATAAGAATTTTTCGCCAGATGTGAGAAGCACAACTGCAATATAAAAGCCAATACGAGTATACGTGCAATGCTTGTATACTTGTAAAATGTTACGAAACTTCGTTTCCTGCTTCCTTCTTGCCGGAGGTAAGTGGAAGAGATACATAATTCTAATCTTACAATATTCTAAAACATATAAGTATAAAATTTTATACACTCTATATATATATATATATATATATATACTGTGTGTGTGTGTGTGTGTGTGTGTGTGTGTT